TGCCAGACCTGTACTCCATCCCTTTAGACTCTCTCTCTGGCCCCTCCTGGAAAGGGAGAATGGCAGACCCACATTGCCAGTGAGAAGAAGGACTGTGTGGAAGATGGTCCTGACACTGAGACAGACCCCCAAACTGCCCCTATATTCCACAAAGGGCCATCTTGTTCCATGCCCACTGTCCTGGGGTATGCCATGGGCTCCCCCACACTGGGGTGCCAAATGCCCTTGCTTTGGGAACAGGGATTACCTTTTGCCTCTCTGGCTCCATTGGCACTAGTAGAAAGGCAGGTTTATTTGGTCTTGGAGAACTTTCCAGAAGTTTTTCTCACTCCTCCAGCATTGTGTAGTAGACGCCAAAATGCCTGAACCAGGGACACAGTGTACACAGCACGGGAGGTGATGGCTGGCTGTGCTGCCTTGGGTAAGGCCCCTTTCCTCCCTGGGCTTCATTTATTCACCAAACAGGGAGCACGCTGGTCAGATCTACGAGTGACAACCTGGCACCTGTGTAGGGACTTGGAGATGTAGCTACCCGGGGGCCAGTCCCTGTGAGCAGAGACCCCCAGGGAGAGGTGGGAAGGGCTCAGCCACCAGCTCTGCCTCCCACAGGGCCTTCTGCTCTCTGGATTCTCCAGCTGCCCTGCTGGAGGCTGAAGGTCTGAGTGTGAGTTTCCAAGAAAAGGTGTGTGGGTGTATGGGGCTCGAGCGTTCAGTGGCCAAGAACCGTTCCCCTGGCCGGCCCATGGCGACGGACGGGTGAAGGACTTGGGGAACAGAGAAACTGGGAAACTGGGCCCCAGGCTGGTTGGCAGTCAGTTTATTTCTCTCTTCTCCCCAGCTCAGTCATAGTTGTAGTTTGGGTCGTAATCCCAGTCATCATAGTTCCATCATCCTAGTCTCCTCGCAGATCTCAAAGTTTTCTACCTCATTATATCTTCTTCCTCATCTTGTCGTAGTCTCCTAGTCCTCTACTTCTAGTCTTTGTTATCCTTCTGCTCCCAAAGTCTCAGTTCTCATCCTCTTTCTAGCGGTCGACTTTCTAGACCCCCCCCCCCCCCTTACCCCTTACAGCATAGTTATGTAGAAATCATGAAGGGTGGGGACACACAAAGTGGGGTTGAACATTATCATAACAACAAACAGATGTAAAGCCACTCCTTCAGGAGATTAACTCAAGGACAAAATCTCATCTGAGGGTTCAGCACTCCAGATTACTAGGAGATCCGCTCAAGGGCGGGATCCAGGGTGTATTGCTTTCTCCTTTCCTCAGCTAATAATTCATGTAAACAATCAAAGTAAATTTCTTTCTTTCTTTTTTTTTTTGCTTTTCAAGTCACACCTGGCAATGCTCAGGGGTTACTCCTGGCTCTGCACTCAGGAATCACTCCTGGCAGTGCTCAGGGGACCATATGGATGCTGGGAATCGAACCCGGGTCAGCCACATGCAAGGCAAATGCCCTACCCATTGTGCTATCACTCCAGCCCCGTAAATTTATTTCTTATAATATTTCTAGTCATTTTGTATGAGCACAGTAAGAGATATATTAAACTTAAAGGTTGACTCTTCCTGGGGACATCTCACTATATATTCCAGACCATAATCCTCGGGCCAGGTTAGTCTTTCCTAACTCCAGCAGGGTCCTTATTCAATTCTTTTTGGGTCATGACAGAGTTTGTTCCATGACCCTGCTCCTATTATACTTATCTTGTCTCCTTTTGATGCCAGGGTAGTTTACAGCTTGTCCTGGGTCCATCCCTGGGTCCTTTGTTGGGACTTTGCTTTTGGAGTGCTAGGAACTAAGGGCTACTAAGGTTTAAGTCAAATAAATATGGATGCTCAGGAGTAAATATTATTTTGGAGTCAATTAACTCCCATGTTATAGCATGAACTGTCCTCCTGTGTCTATACTAAAAGGACGTTGCTAAATAAACCATGCAAATGACATAAAAGAAAAAAGAAAAGCAATATAGGATTATTAGTGCTTGATGGAATTGGGTGGGCCTCAGGGCACAGTTGTTGGGAGTTACTCAATAAACCTAAGCTCCCCTGCAGGAGGAGCAAGGATAACCCAATGTTATCCAACAGTCTGAGGACGTCTAGAGGTCTGCGCAGGCTTTGTCCTTCCTGCACAGACATCAGAGGGTCAGAGGTGTCCTGGGGCTCTGCTACAGGGTTGCAGCCTAACACTCCTCGAGGGACTTAGCTTGTCTCCTTTTGAAGCCAGAGGATCCTTTTGACAGAGCAGGTGCCCGTGATAATGGGGGCAACCTGGGTGATGAGCCGGAGGCTGGGGCCAGGCCCTTGGAGCCGGGCGGCAGGACTGAGGGCAGAGATGGAGACGAGTGGGAGGGAGAGACTCAAGGAGGAAAAGTGAACAGCAGTGCTTGCCTGCCCAGCACCGTTGCTTCTTGAAACAGCACCTCAGCTTCCCCATGGCCAGTCCACACGGCCGGGGTGGGATCAGGGTCTGATGGCGTGATTCAGGATGGGTCAATCCAAGTGAAAGTGCTAAGTGCAGGGGTGGGAGTGGGGCAGTGCTGGATGGAGAGACTCAGGCTTTGCTGGGCTCACTGGGATGGGGCGAGGGGTGGGGAGCATTCTCTGTCTTCAGGAGGCTGGACTGGGAGCACGTGAGTGCAGGGACTGCTGGGGCCACCTGTCAGGAGACAAACAGACTAAGAATAAAATTCATGCAGCTGATACAGGACTGTGACGTGGAGAGGAGGACTTTCATGGAGCTCCTGGATCAAACCACGCCTGAATCCCTCCTTTTGGTTCCTGTATGTAATCCATCCCTTCCTGGGGACTGGGTTTCGATCCATTGAACTTTCGAGTCCTGTGACTGAAGAGGGTGGAAGGGAAGAGGCTGACAAGCAGGAACCTACACAAATCTACAAATAGGAACCCAAACCAGTTTCATGGCCCTTTCGAAGCACAGAGATTTTGGGCCGTCCCCCTACCTTGAGGATGGCGCTGTCCCTGGCACTCAGGGCTTTACTTGGCCACTCCCCCTAGCGGAGAGCCAGCCCAGCCCACCAGCCCCCCAATACAAAATAAACGTGGGCACAAGACCAATATGCTGGTCTCACCTGAGCCTGGGAGGGGTCAGTAAGGATGGGGGCACCCATTCACCTGTTCAAGAACTAACATTTATTAGGCACCTGCAGCATGCGGAAGTTTGCATGCACAGCCTCATCTCCTCTTGCGAGATCATCATCCTGGTTCGTGAGCAGGACCCTGGGGCTCAGGTCTAAGAGATGAAGCCGCTTGCCCCACGCCTACGTCCTGCCCACGGCCGCACTGAGCGCAGTAGATGCAGAATAAAGGCTCGGGAGCCTCAGGGCTGTGCGCCTCTGGCCACCCTCAGCTCTGCGTTCCTGACATTCTTGACTGCCCGGCAGGAGATGAGCCTGAGCCGGGCTGGGCTTGCTTGGGTGACTGACTGAGGAGGGACTCGGGGCTGGGACAGAGCCAGGCAGTCTAAGGGGGTCCCATTTCCGCGGCCCAGCCGCCTGCAGGAAGTGCCTCTGAACAAACACAGAGGCCCCCTCTGGGTGGGACAGAGCAAAGTGGGGGACCCGGGGATGAGCTGATGATGATAGGACAGTGCTGGCCTCGGAGGGATGAGGACGGTGTCTCTTGGCCCTGCCCTGGGACCTTGGGCAGAGTCCAGCTGCAGTGTTACTGTGGGTGGGGCTGGAGAATGAGCTGGGCTGCTGGCCGGAAGGTGAGAAGGAGCTGGACACAGAGTGGTGTCCTTTCCCAGGCAGGGTGGACACCCCGCGAGTCCCTGAACTAGACCTGGGGTGGGTATGGTGACTGGGAGTGCTGCAGGGAAGCCCCCCAGGCAGAGACCCGCCTTTGTCAGCATTGGGGAGTCTCAGAAGACATGGGCCCACAGCACAGACAGGAAGCAGAGTTCTAGAACCTTCTTCTGGGATGGCTGTGTCTGCTTTAACCCAAGGGTCCTGCCAGGGTCTGTTTGAGGCCATCACTGGTGTCTCCAGGGCCAGGACAGCTGGAGGTGGGGGAGGAGGCTCGAGGCACTGAGTCAAGACCAGTGAAGACCGACATTTCCCAGGGGTGCCCAGGCCCAAGGAAGCCCTGCAATAAATAGGACCTATTTTCCAGACTTCAGGAGAAGTCTGTCCACACTGTCCCCCACATCACTGATGGTCACAAGGGACATGGCACATCAAATGCTCTGACAAGTCCTGCAGCTGGCATGGATGTGTGCACGGATCTGGTAAACCCAGCGCTTCTTGGTCATGGGCACTTTCACTCATTTCGTTCTGGGACCACACCTGGTGATGCTCAGGGCTTAATCCTGGCTCTGCACTCTGGAATTACTCCTACTGGGGTTCAGCAGAATGCCGGGGATCTGACCCAGGCTGGCCACGTGCAAGACCAGTGCCCGACCCGCTGGGTGATGGCTCTTGCTAGAACCTCCAAACAAAGTCTCGAGGGCAGGGGCACTTTTTGAGAAGAGTCCCGGTTCTTGTCCGGGAGAGCATCATCCAGGACTGCTCGGGAGAAGGGACCCTGCTTAGACTTTCTGGGAGCCCCAGGTCTGAGCTCCGGATGCTGAGCCTTGGGGCAGGGCAGCCCTGGGGGTGGAAAGAATCATTCCCAGCACGACGCAGGGCAGACCAACTTCAAGGACATCCCAAGACTGAGAGCACTGGGAGCAGGGCCAGCCTTTCCACCCATCTCGGGCATGGAGATCAGGAGCCACAGCTGGGTAGCTCTCTGTCCCCTGGATACTGCCCCGTCCTGCCAGAAAGTCCACCGCAAGACAGGAGCTCTTCCGAAAAGCCAAGGGAAGCGGGTTCTCGGCGCAGGCAGGGGCTCTCGCAGGAGGCAGGAGGGGAGAGGAAAGGGATCCCTTGGAGGTAGGAGGCCCCCACCTGCCCACCCTTGCAGAATCTGGCGAAGTTCCGGGGGGCAGCCGACTCTCCTGCACTCCTGGGGCAAGGAGGGCTCAATCCCAGGTCCCAGGTCCTGTGTTCGGGTCCAGCTGGCCCAGAGCAGAGCCAGCGGGCTCCTCCCTGGGTGCAGCCCGGCTGCTCCTTAGGTGCCCACGGGCCGTAGCATCATGCGGGTGGCACGCAGCGAGTAGCTGGGGCCCTGGAAGTAGTACCAGCGGATGCCATTCAGCTTGCGCATGTGGTGGCGTGCCGGGTAGTAGATGCCGTTGAGGTTGGAGAGGCCGCAGGCGTCAAACCACCATCCTGGGGGGCGGGGAGGGGGAGAGAAGAGGAGGGTGGAGGGGGAGAGCCCCGCCAGTGAGGTCAGGGTTATTCTCCCCCAAGGCGACCACCACTACCACCACAGCTATGTCGCTGCCTCCTCCAGGAAGCCAGCTTGCAGGGAACCTGGGTGGGTGAGTGGAGGTCAGGGGGCTCCGGGAAGGGGCTGGGAGACCACAGCCTCCTGCTCAGCTTGTGGCCTCTGGAGATCGCACCAGCTTCTTGTCACCCCAGTTCCTGTGTCCCTGTGACCCTCTCTCACCATCCTCCCTCCACCCCCGACTCTTCATCTTCCCTGCTGGCTCTGGCGGTCACTGATTCTGTGTCTGGAGGTCTCTGTCCTGGTCTGTCTCTGTCTCTGTCTCTTTGTCTCTGTCTCTCTCCCTCTCAAATAACACTCGTCTCACTGAGGGCCTTTGAACTCTGTTATCCTGTCCTTCTGCATCTGCTTGTTAAATTCCTTTTTTTTCCTCTTGGTTTTTGAACCACATCTGGCAGCGCTTGGGGCTGACCCCTGGCTCTGTGCACAAGGATTACTTCTGGCAGTGCTCAGGGACCAAGTCTAGGTTGGCTGCGTGCAAGTGCCCTACCTCTGTACTCTCTCCGTCTGTCATATTTGGTCACCATCTGCCTCTCTCCTCTGTACTTCTGTCCCCTAAGTTGTCTCCACGCTACTCTCAGGGTCTCCCTCTATGCGCCCATCTCTGTGTCTTGGGAAATCTCCCACCTATCTCTGTCCCTCCAATCTCTCTCTCTTGGACCCAGCTCTCTGCCTTCATCTACCCCTCTGCTCCCAGACCCTGGGCCAGCACATGTGGGATGGGGATGGGGGTGCCTGGTGGGGTGAAACTCTGGGACACGCCTGTAGAAAAGTGAGACTGCTGGTTGTAGGGGGTGAAGCCTGAGAGACACCTCAAGGACTGGAGCGGGCTGGCGACCAGCCTGGGGGGTGAAGGGGGGTGTGGAATCGAGACGCCAACCAGGTTCCTGACTGTCCTGGTTCCACAAGGACCCAGGGAGGGAGGGAATGGGGTGCACAGTGGGCGAGCCGGCAGGCGTAGGGGGCTTCTCTCCACGGCACCCACCTCCAGACAGCATCTGGGCACACTTGCAGAGGCAGTTGTCATTGTCTGCGTCACGGGTGCTGAAGTTGGTCCCCTGCAGGGCCAGGCTGCTCTGGCGTCCTGCTGAGCCACTGTACCCGCCCAGAGAAAGCCTGGAAGCCACCCAGAGGTGGTGATGGGAGAGAAAGGATCTGGAGTCAGCACGGGGGTGTTTGGGGAAGAGCAATCTCCCAGTCAGGGGCGTCCCTCTGTTTGTCTTGGGGTGAGGGGGTCCAGCCTGGGGAGCTCGAATTTTCCTCCAACCCCCTGCTTGCTGCTTCCTCAGGTGAGAGTGTCTGTGGCGGTCCCCACCCACTGTGCCTGCTTCAGGCCGAGAGAGAAGATGGCCGTGAGCATGAGGACACAGCTGGCCTCACTTGCTCATCTCTGGACCATGGGGCTCCGCAGCAGTCAGCTCCCTCGCTTTTACACCCTCACAACACCCCATTCTCTCCGATGAGGAGACAGATGCAGGCACTGAACAGAGCTTGCCCAAGGACTCAGAACCCAGGAGGGTGAGGTGTGGCCTGGCTGGGCAGTGCAGTATGTCAATGCTGCTCCCCTGCTGGGCATCCTGCAGCTCCAGCCCCCTCACCCCTCCTCATAGCCATTCTCCTCCTCCGGGAAGTCTTCCCTGATCACACCTACATATTGGTGCCCTGGGGCACCCCCAACACAGTGGCTGCCACCTCTGCAGACAGCAGGTGGGTGGAGGGTGGGGGTGGGGAGACTTTATAGACTTCAGCTCTGCCAGGGGTGAGTTCCTGGGAGTGGGGGAGCACATTCAGATTGTGTGGTGGTTCTGACCATGAGACCTAGGGGATTGGATTCAGATCCCGGCTCTGTTGCTAACCCGCTGAGAGTCCTGGGCACTTTGCTCCACCTCACGGCTCTGTCTTCTCTGCTTGTCCACACGCTCCTGGGAGTGGTGTTTACAGGGCTGCCGCGTTTGGACAATGCTGGCCCATGGCTGGAGCGGTGTGCAGCTGTGTATGGGAACGCTCTGGGCACTGACAGCCGTCTGCCTGTCCTGTGCTCCCGGCTCTGGGCTCAAGCTGGCACCGCTGAGCCTGGCTGAGGGAGTGTGGGGTGTGGAAACCGGAAAGGGGCCTGCACTGGCAGCTGAGGTGGGGCGCAAATTAGGAGGCTGCCTGGGTGGGGCTGAATGGACCCCAGATGTGGCTGGGGCAGCTTAGAAAGTGTCGAGGCCCGGGCATGTGGCGGGCTCAGACCTGCTCTCCCTTCCTGCTGTGGGCTCTGGGCATGATGTGGGCTCAGCCCTGCCCTTCCCGCTGTGGGCTCTGCCTATGGTGAGGTAGTGTGTGTGTGTGTGTGTGTGTGTGTGTGTGTGTGTGTGTGTAGGGGGTGGGCACAGGATCCAGATGTCTGCAGCCAGCTGTGAAGCCTTAACCGTGCCCTCACACTTGTGCCCAGGGTTATGCGCGGAATTACAGACCCACCTGCTGAGGGGTCTGTGTGGGTAGGGCCTCCCTGGATGGAGGAGCATGTGTGTGTGTGTGTGTGTGTGTGACAGATGCCCCTGCCTCAGTGCCCCCTCCTGGTCTACTCACATGATTTGGCTCCTGATCGTCCATCAAGAGCCCCAAGATGTGAGTTCCAGGCCAGGCTGGGGGAGTGAGGTTTAGGGTCCCACTCTGTCTGGGCTGGACCTAAGTGACGGGCCTGTTGGGATCCCTTCTGCTGAGCAGGCCCATATCCTGAGTCCCATCTCATAGGCTGCTCCTGTTCCCTCCCCACGGGCCAGACTGAGGAATCAGTGACCGCTGGGGGATGGTCGAGACACGGCTGGGGAGCCTCACTACCCCCGTTGTTCAGATACACATGGAACATGTCAGCGGTTCAGGGCTGGGCAAGTCAAAGAAACATGTGGGTCTCTGGGACCCCAATGTCAGCAGATGAGGGGCATTGCCCATGTGCCCGTGACTCTGTGAATGTGACAGTAGGTCTGGCTGTGAGCTCTGGTGGAAGATTCTACTCACTTACGTGTGGACATGTGTGTGTGAGTCTGTGCAGGAACGGCTGTCCTCAGCTGAGCTCTGGACTCCGTGCCTGTAAGAGTGTTGACCTGCAAGGCCTTCTGGAGTCATGTTTGCATATACATGTATGTGTACATGTGTCTCTCTGCGTGTGCACATGCATGTTTGTGTGTGCATGTGTGCACGCACACATATGCATGTGTATTTGTACATGGGTGTGTGCATGTGTGTGTGATTGTTTTCATGCATGCATGTATGTGCATGTGTATTCGCACATGTGTGTGTTTGCACGCATGTGTGTATATGATTGTATGCATGAGCATGTGTACGCATGTGTGTGTATGTGTGTGTTTGTGTGTACACACATGTGCATACATACGTGTGTGAGTGTGTTTTCGTGCTTGTATGTGTGTGCATTTATGTGTTGTGTCTGTGTCTGTTAAACCCCCGTGTCTGCAGTCCTCCTGCTGGTTCCTGCACTTGGCCTCGGTGTGAAGGTGCTTGGGCACACAGGTCCTGGGTGAGAGGCGGTGTCTGGCATGTGCCTCCCCGCCAGTCTCTGCTGCTTTCAGCTGCGGGCCCCAGCTGGGCTCCAGAGGGCCCCCTTGTTTCTGAGCCCTCCTGCACCCCAACGCCCGCACCCAGCTGCAGACTGCCCACAGGTCGCTGGCTTTGGGTTTCTCTATGGCGATTTGCTCCCCAGCCTGTTGACCCTATAGTGGGGTACAGGGACCAGGCGTGCTCTGTCCTTCTCCCTCTGACCCTCCTCTGGCAACTTGTAGCCTCTCTGGTGCATCCTGGGAGCTCCACTTCCCAGTGCCTACCCTACACTTCTCTGTATGCAGAGCCTCCTTCTTAGGATTTGAGTAGCCATCAAAAGAGGTTTGTGGGTAACTGTGACTAACTGGACATGAGCTCTATCTCTGCTTCTACTCAGAACATCCCCACTGCCTGCGATCCCTTCCTAGCCTCTCTTGGTCAGGACACTGTCTGCTGTTATAGTTTCACCTCCTCCAGGGAGCCCGCCCCAATCACACAGGTGCCTCTGTGCCCTGTGAGCTTTCCCATGAGGCAGGTTTTGCCTCTTAGGGGTGAGAGGTTGCCTACGGACATACTCGTCTATATCATTTTTTAGGGGAACACACACCCAGTGATACTCAGGGGTTAGTCCTGGCTCTGCACACAGGAATGACTCCTGGAGGTGCTCAGGGGACCATATGGGGTGCCAGGGATGGAACCCAGGTTGGTCACATTAAGGCAGGCACCCTCCCAGCTGGACTATCTCTCCAGCTCCTTGGACATACAAGTAGCACAATGTACTGTGAATAGCATTGAGGGATGACACCCAGATCTGATTTGTCCCCAGTGGGCACTGCCCATGGGTGCCTGGCACAGAGCTAGTGTTCAACATACTGGTCTCAATTAGGGCTCTACAGAAGGTTGAGTGGATGTGGGCCCTTGGAAGACTGGCATCCCTGTCTGGGAATATGGGCATGGAGTTCTCCCCGGCTCACACAGAGGGCCCAAGCAGTGCCCACGAGAGGACCTGGCGAGAGGTTCCAAAGGTAAGACACACTCAGTGGATACAAATGACAAAGATACACAGAAGCATAATTGTTGCTGTTGTGCCTTTGCATGTATGATGTGTCCAACAGTGACTGACTATGAGAGATGCTCTTCTGCAGATCTTCTCAATGATATGAAAAATATAGTTTTTATGATGAGGAGAGAGAGAGGGATTGGCTCAGGGTCTCCCAGGGAGACAGAGACGGAGCAGACGGAGCCAGGTTCCACGCGTTGGCATTGGTGGTCAGTGGCTTAACACTGAGGAGGGTTAAGGCTCTTATTTTACTGTGGGGGCAGGATATGGGCTCAGGAATTTCTACTGGCAGTGCTCTGGGAACTATGCAGTTCCAGGGATTGGACTTGGACCCCCTCTCCCCCTTTGTGCAGTGCCTGTGCCCCAGTCTTTTGAGCTGTCTCTAGTCCTTTTGGGCAAGGGGCATAACTGGTGGGTCACAGGGGTTACTCTTGACTCTACAATCAGAAATTGATCCTGGTGGTGCTTGGGGGACCATGTGGGATGTTCAGGATCAAACTTGGATTGGCCATGTGCTTGACAAATGCTATCCCTGCTGTACTACCGCTCCGGGCCGTGGCCTTGGTTTCTTATCCAAGGGGGATCCGGCTTAATCCTGCCTGGTCCAGATGCAGGTGATGTTTCCTGCATCCTAGACCTTGCACTGGAAGGAGGAAATGATCAGTCTGGGGTGGGTGCTGGGAGGAGGATATTAGAATGACGTGGCTGGGAGAATGAGGGCTATTTAATGGAAAAGAGAGCAGTGGGGTGGTGGAGTGGTGGGGTGGTGGTTGCAATATCACTGTGAAACGCCCCCAGAGGTGAGTTTAGGTCTAATGTGCAGGGGGCCTGAGTGACATCAGAAGTTTCTTGGGAAGGAGTGATGTCCCCATCAGTGGGGGCAATCCAGCATGGCTGGAGGTGCCCGCGAGAAGGTTTGAACATTGAAGGACTGCATGATACCAGGGTTCTCTGCAGTCCCATAAACACAAGCCTCCGAATCCAGTTGAGTCTGTGTCCCAAGAGAGCAGGGACCATGGTGTGGCTTCAGAACATGCATTTCTCAGAGGGAAAACATCAGGGAGCAGAGCTGCCAGTCATTTTGGAAACAGGGAAAAGTGACTTTAAATCCTAGCTGGATCTCACTCGTCTGCCTGGGAAGGGAATTTAAACCCTGCACCTCACTTTCTGCATCGCTGGAGCAGGCATAGTTCGGAGTGCCCTGGGGGAGGAATCGGTGGAGGAATGAGCCAGAACAGTCAGCAAATGCTCGTTCCTTTGTTCTAAACAGAGCTAAGAACCAGGCTGAGATGAGGTAAGAGGCTTGGATGATTTTATAATGCACGAGATCTGCAGCCCGTTTGATTCTTAAGAGGCAGAGGGAGGGAGAAACCAGAGTCGGAAAGAGCCCCAGTCTCCTGATTTCCAGCCCCAGGGCATTTCTATCTCAGCCTCTAGCTTCAGGCAGACTGGGAAAAGACTCCCCCATCCCTCCCGTAAAGTGACTGACCCGGGCTAACTAACCTCAGAAAGACCCTCCCCGCTCCCCGCTCCCAGCGCCAGCTGCCTGCTCCCCACCCCACCCCGTGGCTGGGACATGCTGAGTGCGAACCCGCCGCCTCCAGATCCCGTGACGTGCGTCCAAATGGAGGACAGATGGAAGGAAGGGGAGACGCCCAGGGACTGACCTTGCATGCAGTCTCTGCAGCCACCAGCCCAGGGCCCCCAGCCCGCCCGCCTGCCCGCCCGCCCGTCCGGGCCCCGAGCCCACCTGTAGAGCTGCCCCTCGCTGCCCAGCTGGAAATGCTCGTACTGGGCATAGGCCTCGTTGCCCTCCCAGTCTTGCAGCTCCACGCGCAGAGAGTAGGTCCCGCTGCTGGTGAGCTGGTGCACCACCTCGTTGCCCAGCCAGTGCTCCCCAGCCGGGTCACCAAAGCCCTACAGGGAGGGAGGGTGGGAGTGGGCAGTGTGCCGAGGACAGCGGGTGGCTACACCCCTGACTCAGAAGCTGGGCCGGGCCAGGTGCCAGAATGACCGATCCCAAACCACTTTGCCTCATGGTCGAGTTCACGAAGTGGAGTGTGGGCAGGCCGGCCAGGGCGGAGAATACCCCAGCTCCCAGCCCAGCAGGACTAAGGCTTCTTTCTGTAAATGTAAATGCTGGGTAAGAGGAATCGAAAGCATATTTCTGTGAAGTTCAAGCTCAGGCAAAACTAAGCACTGAATGACAGAAGTCTGGGTGGTGGGTATCTTTTGGTGAGTATCAACTGGGAGTGGGTGGCAAGAGGGATTCCTGGAAGCTGGAGGTGTAGATCAATGTTCTATACCTTTTCAGACCCGTGGGCTGGCCCATGCCTGGCACACTATTCATATGGGCCAGTAGTTAGAACCGAGGCAGTAGGCTGGTGTTTTTCAACCTGTCCACACCTGCAGCTGGAGTGATTGCACAGCGGGTAGGGCATTTGCCTTGCATGCAGCTGACCCGGGTTCGATTACTCTGTCCTTCTCAGAGAGCCTGGCAAGCTACAAAGAGTATCCCACCCGCAGAGCAGAGCCAGTCAAGCTCCCCGTGGCGTATTCAATATGCCAAAAACAGTAACAAGTCTCACAATGGAGACGTTACTGGTACCCCCCCCTCCCCGAGCAAATCGATGAACAATGGGAGAACAGTGCTACAGTCCACACCTGCAGATCACCACCGGTTCATGGAACAGTGGTGTAGATAACTATTCTGTGTGGTGCTCACAGGGGCAAGAAGAAGCTGGAAACATTCTCCTGAGTTCTTCTATTCAAGGTTTTTACACTCAGCTGCATGAATGTCAAGCCTCCATCACACATTAAAGATTTGAATGAGCAGACTTCCATCAATGACCTGGCAAGTGGCAGAATTTCAGCCACACAGGAATGGAAAGCTAGGAGCCTTGATTTTCACATTATAGGATGGCAGGAACCTTGCCCTCTCCCAGAACCAAAATTCAGTACCATGGACAGGGCTCGGCTAAGCCCCACTCCCCATTTTAGTGGCGAAGCAAGTGATCTGCCTGAGAGATTCTCGTGACTCTGAAAATGTCTGCGTCTGAGCACCCCCGTTCCTCTTGGGCACTTTAGGGATCTTTTCAAATCCAACTGGTTAAAAAATATTCAAAATTTACTTAGGCCTGTAACAGCAAACAGATACAAAAGATACTATTGTTGCACTTCCTTATGGGGATGTTTTTGTATTTTACTTTTGCACACTTGGAGCTTTTAATTGAACTGACAAAAAATTCCTTTATTTAAGAATAATTTTTATTTAAGTTAAAGTTTAACTAAAAAAATAGAATGGCTAGGGCGATAGCACAGCGAGTAAGGTGTTTGCCTTGCACACAGCTGACCTGGGTTCGATTCCCAGCATCCCACATGGTCCCCTGAGCACCGCCAGGAGTAATTCCTGAGGACAGAGCCAGGAGTAACCCCTGAGCAACGCCGGGTGTGACCCAAAGAGCAAAAAAAAAAAAAATAGAATAGCAGGGCACTACTTCTCATCTTGTAAAATGTGCATGGTCTTTGGGCTAGAAATACCATGTTGAGAAATATCTCTCCTGTGGATCAAGTCATATATGTTGAAAGACACAGAAATTCTTTTAAGCAACATATCTGGGGTGGGTAGGGGAAATGGCACTTTCTAGCCCCCAGGAGTAACCCCTAAGCATCACTAGGTATGACCCAAAAAGCAAAAAAAAAAAAAAAGAATATGTGCCAGAACATTTGCGACCCCTTCACCCCCACCCCCTGCCAAATTAGTCCATTTTGGATGCTGTAATTCCTGAAAGTGAATGAGTACTGAGCAAATCTGTTTGAAAGGGGTTGTAGGAAGGATGCAGATCAAACCAGCCCCCAGCCCCCTATATATGTCCTGCCCCAGTTTATGCACCTGAAGATCCGCCTCCCCCTCATCCCTCCCCCCAGGACAGCAATGGTACCTGCTTATAATCCTTCCAGTTCCGCTGGAAATTGACGCTGCCATTTTCTCGGCGCTGGATGAGGGTCCAGCCGCCTCCATTGGCCTCCATGTCACAGAAGACCTAGAGGAAACAGCTGCATCAGGCTGGGGGCATGGGAAGCTCTTGGAGGCTGCTCGAAGCAAGGAGTGGGCTGGCTCGAGTGTGATGGGCCAGAACCACAGAGAGCAACAGAGGAGGAACCTGGTGGTCAAAGCCAACCCTCACCTCCACATTCATTTTCTTTTCTTTTTTCTTTCTTTTCTTTTTTTTGCATTTTGGTCACACCCGGCGATGCACAGGGTTTACTCCTGGCTCTGCACTCAGGAATTACTCTTGGTGGTGCTCAGGGGACCATATGGGACGCTGGGAATTGAACCCAGGTCAGCCTCATGCAAGGCAAATGCCCTACCCGCTGTGCTATTGCTCCAGCCCCCTCCACATTCGTTTTCTTTCTTTTTTCTTTTTTTTTCACATTCATTTTCTAATGAGACGAACAAGTATCACCCTCTCAGAGTCTCCCTCTCCTCACCTCTCTGCCCCAGTTTCTCATCTGCAAACGGAAGATGAGAATTCAAGGAGACCTCTAGAACAGAGAGTGGCGTAGAGGGAAACACTTCCCCAGAGGCTCTTCACTTCCTACTGCTGCAGGACTATTGAAAGGGCTCAGTGGTCACTAGTGTCAAGTGCCCGGCACACAGACAAATGTTTTCCAAGCACCTGCTACTGCCAAGCTCCATCCAAGGCACTGGGGATGCTACTCTGGGTAACACAAAAAGAGTGCTTCCTCTCCGAGAGCTCACCATCCATCAACCACACCTTTGTGGTCTAGTCCAGACTCACTATTTTTTTTTTCAGTCAGAACAAGCTTAATCAGGACAAACGTGGTTTTCCATCTCCATACTAGAAAAATTAGAGATGAATCAGAGATAGGCATCTCTGGGGACTCACTTAGCCTGGAGGAGATAGGCAGGATAGGCAGACTTCACTGTGCACATGTGGTGAGTTCCAGGGAGAGCCTCCCACCAGGAGTTACTGATCTATCATGGAAGACTTCTTGGAGGAGGGGACATTGGGACAGGGTTGTAGAAGATGGTGTGCTGCCAGGAGAGCCCAATGGGTCTGGAATTTCCATGCCAGCAGGAGTAAAGACTCAGAGGTGGCAAAAGCTGGTTCAGGGAGAGAAGGCATTGGCATCTGTTTGGGGGATGGTAGCTGAGTGTGCAATAAGGGAAACTGAGGTCCAGAGATGAGAGGAACTTACTCAAGGCAAGGAAAATTGACATTTGAGCCCAGATTCCTTGCTTTTCAGGAGAGCTGTCCCCTTTATATTAGTGTTCCCAAGTTTCACTCACTCACACCTTCCTCAATTCCATTACAGCTGGATTTACTTAAAGTTTTTTTTTCAAATAGGGTATTTACTTTTAAAATGGTTTCCTGTTTTCTTAAAACAAATACTTCTATTAAATGCATTTGTCATTGCCATAAGTCTAATCACAAAATAAAGAGAACAAAACAATCAAAAGTTAATAATAGTAACCGCAGACCTACAAGGTGCATCTCTTGGTTATAAGAGGAAGTTTAGCAGATGAAAAGTGTTAAAGATATGGGGTCAGAGCAATAGTCCAGTGGGTAGGGCACTTGCTTTGCACATGGTAGGCCTGGGTTTGATTCCTGGCACCCCATATGGTCCCTGAATCTGCCAGGAATTATCCCTGAATGCAAAGCCAGGAGTCAGTCCTGAGCACCACAAGGTGTGGCCCAAGAACAGAAAACAAAAACAAAACAAAAACACAAAATAAAAAAGAAGGCTACAGATAACCTGCAAGGGGCTAGAGCAATAGCACAGTGGGTAGGGCGTTTGCCTTGCATGTGGCCAACCTGGTTCAATTTCCAGCATTCCATATGGTCCCCTGAGCACCGCCAGGAGTGTTTCCTGAGTGCAGAGCCAGGAGTCAGCCCTGAGCATCACTGGGTGTGACCCAAAAACCAATAAATAAATAAATAAATAAATAAATAAAATAAATAAAGATAACCTGCAAAAGAATAGAGTCATCCAAAGGATTGAAAAAACTAAAAGAAAAAAAGATCAGAGACAAAGTATAGGGCTTAAGGCTCTTGCCTTACATCCTGCTGACCCCGGTTTCAATCCCAGATGGTTCCCCAAGCAGATAAGGGTTACTCCTGAGCAGAACTCCCCCCAGCCCCCCAAAGGGAATTATAAAATGAGAAGAATGCCTGTACCCCATATGCTTCTACTTCTGTGCCAGCCCCCAACTCTCCCTATGAGCATACTTTCCCTTCATCCCTCTCCCCTCCAAATAGCTGGGCCTCGAAGCTCAGGGCAGTGGGTGGTGGGGGGCAGGCGAACCATCTGCTAAAGATGTGGAGCCTCCCTGGGCCTTGGGCTCTCATTTTCCATGGGGAACGGAGCCCCCACAGCCTTCTTCAACAAGATTATATGGAAGAGAAACTTCCTGGGACTGGCATTCCAGGGCACCTCTACTCCAGCACCACCATAACCCACAGAATTATGTCCTGCTAGTCAGACTAGAAGCATCTCCAATGGCAACCCCGGAGAGGGTACACTGTCTGCTTTGTGAACTTCTGGCTTAACCCCAGATCTGACTCCTGATTCGAGAGAGGGGGCCCCTGAACATAGAGCTTCCCCATTTTCTCTGCCAACTCAGATGTTGGACAAGGCCTCAAGAATACCAGGGCAGGGTGGAGGGGGGGTCGGTGATTGTTTGAGAGTCCCCTGCATGCATACCCTCTGACAGTAGCAGACTCTCGAGCGCCCCCTAACCTTTTTGGGCTCCGTCATATTGACCACGTGGATGACGTAGACGCCGCTGGTGTTGGCCCCGGAGCGCTGGATCTCGGCACAGTCCTGAAACACCTGCTCAGCGGCCCTCACGGGGGCTGCCGTGGGTCAAAGCAAAGGCAATTGGCCATGAAGGGAGGGGAGAGAGGAGGCCGTGGCAGGCACCACACCTGCTTCCTAGCCAGGCGCAGAGTTGGGAGGTGCTGGGGCAGGGAGATGGGGCAGACCTGCAAGGGTTCCTAGCTGGCTGACTCTGAGCTGGGGCTTAGAAAAGAAGCGGACGTGGCATTGGTTGAGAAGAGGGAAGAGCCAGGCAGGAGGGCAGTGTCTGTGCAAAGACTCCGAGACAGGAAGTGGTTCATTCTACGAGAGCAGAATTGAGGCTAACAATGAAGAATGGGGAGGAGCCGACCCGGAGAGCACCAAGGCAGGGAGATAAGTCTGTGAAGCAGCAGGGGCCTGTCCAGACTGGAGAGCCAGATGGAGGAGGCAAACTGTGCTGAGGAAGGGTGTGTTGGCCAATGTAGGACAGCCACTGGAGGGGAAAGTTGCAAGCATGAATTTGGCAAGCACCAGGCTGCTATTCCCATTGCACAGAGCAGAACACTGAGGCATCAGAGGGGGGAGCCTGGCAAAGGGCACACAGATGGGCCCAGAGCCTTTCCTCCCTCCATGTGTATGGGCTGATATGTCCTTGGAACTCCCTTTGGGAGGCCCAACATACCCCCCAACCCCGACCCCTACAGCCCTAGAGGCATTCTCCCTCAGTGGGCTCTCCCTGAACACGTCTAGGACCCCATTTCTTCTCTCAGAGTAATAGTAACTAATGACAGAATTTCACCAGGCCCCTAGGGTCCTGCCTGAAAATTGCCAGGGCTTCAAATCCTGCCTCTGACACTTTCTGTTACAATATTGGCCGTCAGAACCCAACCTCTGGGTAAGTGCTATCCTGTGATAGGCTAAAGTTCTAGACAGCACCAATGAGAAAAAAGGATGCTGCCAAGGGGTGGGACTTCCCATTTGACCCTTAGTTCTGGCTTCGAATTCAAGAAGGAATTTGGATACGTGTTGGAAGATGGTTATTCCTAGGTCACCAACAAAGCAACTTAGATGCCAAATTCATGCTGGTGCACAAAGAGCCCAGGGCAGGATCGACATACCCACCTGAGAGCATTTCCTTGGTGAAATGCAGCCCAGCTAGGCATGGGGGAGAGACTGGCCTGAGGGCTAGCGGGTCAGCCCTCTGCAGCCAAGCAAGCACAGAGACAAGAGCTGGCTCTAGACTCTGCTGTTATTTTCCTTAGTTAACCTCGGAGGCCTGGAACCCCCAACCTCTGCTCTCCACCAAGCCAAACGAAGCAGAAAGACAGTGCAGGCTGCCTGCAAGGGTGCCAGCATGCCTGCTTCTAATGCTATCTCCATCCATTCTCTACTCCACATGTGGATTCCGCTTTTCCGACTAGAACACCATAATGCTTCTTCTCCCCATGGTGCAGAAGGAGCAAAAATTTGGGTCAAGGGTGCCTGTGGTGAAGTCCAGAACACAACCTCCCACCAAGCCTGCGAGCAGATATTTGGCTGCAGCTGGACCCTGGGACAGCAATGAGCCTGTGGGGAGGGCACCCGCCCCAGCCCCCTGCCTCGGCCAGAGCCACAAGACCCGCACATGTGGGACTGATTTAGGCAGCCTCGCTGCCAGGGCTCTGCACAAGCCCATGATGGGTCCGGGGAGTCCCCCAGCTCATGGTTTGGAAAGCAGCCGTTCTTTCCCGCTCACGACTGGGGCTGTAAACTCCATCTAGCAGGGGCTGTAAACTCCATCTAGCAGAACCGACCCAACTTCGATGGATTTGTGATCTTCTGTCCCCATACTACTGGCAGCCACAGCTCCTGGAGCCCACACTTCTGCTGGCTTCCTGGTGCCTTCAAGGCTCTCAGACCCCCTTCCTCCACAGCCCTGCCACCCCATGGAGATTCAGCTGCTGTAGGAATCTCGTCTCCTGTCTTTCTCTCCCCAACCCATTCTCCTCTCCAGCCAAGCTTCCCGCTTCTCCCAAACCCTCCCATTGCTTCCTGCTGCCCTCCAGTGAGAGCCCCTTCTCCGAGATCTTTCTGTCCTCTCTGGAGCTGGAAACTTCAGGAATACTGTAAGCAGAGCTGATGGCAGAGCGGAGAGGCACTGCTCCCCTGGAGAACCACAGATAGCAGGTTGGGCATTTGGGCTTTTTTTTTTTTGGATAGCTCCCAGCTGTGCTCAGGGCTTACTCCTGGCTCTGAGCTCTAGCAGGTCTCGGGGGGAACCACTTGCTATGTCAGGAACTGAACCTGGGTCTGAACCTGCAGGCAAGGCGGGTGCCTTAACCCCAGTACTATCTCTCTGGCCTCGTGTTGGGCACTTTTGCAAGAGGCGGGACCGTGGCCTTTCTGTTCCCTGCTCTGCCCCCACTCTCAGCTCTGGGGCTGTATGCAGTAGGTGGTCAATAAATGCTTGCTAAAGAACTGATTGAAACTGGAATGCCATGGTCACCCCAAGGGGCCCCCAGCAGATGCCAGGGCTGGGGAGCTGGATTAGAGATGCCTCCCTCCTCCCTCTGGTTGGGCCAGGTGGGAGTCATTCTTGGGGAGTATTGAGTCTCGGGGCTCCATTTCATAGCTACAGAGACAGGGTCAAGGAGTGGTGAGGCAAGTACAAGCCAGTGGGGATGGCGGGTGGAGTTGGCTAGGGTGTCTTGGTTATCATCACCACACCCAATAAACAGATGAGGAAAACTGAGGCCTATGTTATCACCACGCCCAACAAACAGATTAGGAAAACTGAGGCCAAGGGAGGCACAGGGGCATGGCCAAAGTCACTCATGGAATCAGGAAAGGCAGTCTAGATTGGTCCCTGGAAGTATTTTCCTGGGGGCCCAACTTATTCCTAGTGTCAGTTATTTTTGTTTCACACTTGGGGAGTGTGGGACACGCGATCGCTCTCCCCCTGGGCGGTTTCCAGGCTCCCGAGTGCAGCCAGGGCAGGGTAAGAGCCCCCCTCGCCTCTCCCGCCCGCTCCCGCCCCGGGCGCACGCCGCCACGCGCTGGCTCACCCGGGCCCTGGGCCACGACGCGCACCAGCCGCTGCACGGACTCGAGCAGCTGGCGCTGCTGGCGCTGCAGGAGGCTGGAGTTGCTGCTGGCGGCGCGCAGGCTGCGCTCCAGGCCCGCGAGGGCGCCGCTCTGGCGGCCCAGCAGACGCCTCAGCCGCTCCTTCTCGCCGCGGAGGCTGCTCAGCTCGGCCTGCTGCTGCGTCTCCAGCGCCAGCACCCGCGTTTCCAGCGCGCTGCGGGGCGAGGACGCAAGGGGGTGAGGCGGCTGTGTCTCCCCCACCCAGGGCGTCCCCGCGTGCGCTGGACCCGGGGTGATGCAGCCTTAAGACCCGCGCTGAGGCTCAGAGAGGCCAAGCGCCCGGCCCTGGGGCGCACAGCAGGGAGGCAAGTGCCCACCCCTGCAATGAGGAAAGGCCTGAGGCTGGCCTTGGGGTGAGAGGGAATGGGGGTCAGTAGAGGAGAGAGGTGGGCGTGGGAGGGAAGCGCCAGCACCCTCCAGGCACCCATGGTCAAATCCTAAATATCCTGGGCTAACTAACCCCCAGGGAAAGGGAGCAAGAAACAGCTTTAAAAGTCAGGTTTGGCCAAATGGCTTCTCTTCGGGTGTCCCTGGAAATGTTCTGGAGGGGCAAAGAGGCTGGGGCCAGAGCCATAGCACAGAGGGTGGGGCACTGGCATCCCAGAGGGTCCCCTGAACACCTCCAGGAGTGATCTCTGAGGCAGGGCCAGGAGTAACCCAGAAGCACTGCCAGGTGTGGCCCTCAAACAAAACAAAACAAAAAAAACCTGAACTTTGGGGGTTGGAGCAATAGCACAGCAGGTAGGGTGTTTGCCTTGCACGCAGCCGACCTAGGTTCGATTCCCAGCATCCCATATGGTCCCCCGAGCACCGCCAGAAGTAATTCCTGAGTGCATGAACCAGGAGTAACTCCTGTGCATCGCCGGGTGTGACCCAAAAAGCAAAAAAACAAAAACAAAACAAAACAAAACAAAAAAAAAAACAACCAAACTGGAGTGGCAAAGAGAGAGGAGGTAGAGTGGAGTAGTCCTGGGTGTCTGTGTGCTTCTCTGACTCCATCCGCAGGAGCACGAAGTGTGTGTGTGTGTGTGTGTGTGTGTGTGTGTGTGTGTCGGGGAGGAGGGGAGGTTAGCACAAAGCACCGGGGGCAGGGGGAAGGTTAGGGGATGAAGGTACAAAGGACGAAGGATAGGGTGAATTTACAGGAAAAGGCACTGGAGAGAAACTGGGCCGTGGTGGGGAAGGGGAAAGAAAATCCAGGAAGTGCCCAGTGGGTGCTTTTCCTTCCAGCAGCAGTGAGGGGTGTGATGGAGGGCGAAGACAGGGAGGAGGGTCTGGGGAGACAAACTTCCTCCTTCCTTCTGTACTGAGCACTCAGGTGTAATAAGCACAGAGAGACGTTCTCTCTCTCTCTCTCTCTCTCTCTCTCTCTCTCTCTCTCTCTCTCTCTCTCTCTCTCTCGCTTTTGGCCCATACCAGGCTGTGCTCAGGGCTTACTCCTGGCAGTGCTCGGTGGACCCTGTGTAGTGTCAGGACGGAAACTGGATCCACTTCTTGCCAAGACGAGCACCTTAACCCCTGCAGTATCTCTCCATTCCATACAAAGATCTCACCAGCTCTTCCGCTTTGGGCACTTTGGGCCTCGACTTTGCTCGTTTGTGTGTGCAATGAACTATGGGAACGTTATTCATCACATCTCAGTTTGGAGCAATAACACGCTGGCAAACACCTCAACAACACCTGCTGTCTAGGACCTGGGGAGATCAATGAGGGGAGAGTCGTGCAGTTGGGGTGATGCCGTCGGAGGAAAACCTGAGCAAGGGCCTTGTGCAATTATAGAGCCATTTCCAGGGCCACCGGGGAGGGGAAGGTGCAGAGGGGTCTTGTGCAGCATTTGGATTTTTTTTTTTTTTTTGCTTCCTTGGGTTACACCTGGCTCTGAGTTCAGGAATTACTCCGGAACTACTCCTGGAGGTGCTCAGGGGACCATATGGGATACCAGGGATCAAACCTGGGTCGGTCACGTGCAAGGCAAACGCCCTACCCGCTGTACTATCGCTCTGGCCCAGCGTTTGGATTTTTAAAAAGACCATTCAGGGACACCACATGCAAGTTTGCTTGCATAGTTGTGAGCACAACTGGGAGAGCAGCTTGGGAAAATGGGGAGTTTTGTCTCCTACTTCCTTTCTGTGGCCCCAAACCCCACTGTGGCCTGATTCTATACAAGCGTCTGATACATGTTAAGTACTCATGGTCAAAGGGAAGGGACCGCTATGACCATGTTGGAGGGAAGTGGTCACTCTGGATGATGACTGGGTGCTGAATGCTGGGAAAGGGCTATGCATCATACCCTATTAGTGACACAGTGTAAACCAAGGACCTTAAGCGGGGGAGGGGTAGGAAAAATAAAAAAAAAAATCCTGCCAGAGAGGCAGGCTGGGGGGTGGGAGGGAACCTGGGGACATTGGTGGAGGAAAGTGGACATGGCGAAGTGACTGGGACATTGTACACCTGAAAAGCCAATCATGAATAACTTTGTCATTTACGGGGATTCAGAAAAAAAATTAATAAAAATAATACAAACAAAGAACTGAATGTGAATGAAGAATGAAGGGGCAGACGCCGGAGAAGGGAGAGGAGGTTGGTTCTCTTGGCTCAGGGGGGAGGCGGCGAAGTAGCAGGGGGAAGGGGGAGGTGTGACTGTACGGGCCCATTCTCCAGACTAACAAGACGAGTCCTGCCAGGGCAGAAGGAATTTCCCCTGAAGCCCAAATGATGCTGCAGAAAGAGAAAAAAAAATGTGTGTACACCCCAACTTTTAAAATGCCGGCTGTCCCCTGGTCAGTCGGTGGTGTCGATTTCCTTCTTCTCTGGTTTCTAGGGGCTGCTGATGCTTTGTCCCCGGCCTGCCCTCCCCGCGGTGGAGAAGAGTGATAATGAGAAGAGGGCGAACTCGTTGGACGAGAGGGAGCTGGAGGGAGCTGGCCGGTCCTCCTGGCCTCCTCCTGACCCAGCTGGGAGCAACCATTACATTTGCCCAGATGCCCCTGGTCTCACGGCTGCTTCCGGGCGGGTTTCGCCTCCCCCCCTCCCATGCCCCCCTCCACCCCCTCGTGCCTCGCCGCTTTCTCCCCACCTCAGCTCGAAACTGAGATGGAATCAGCCTCTGAGGCCTTATCTAATCCCCATGACTTTCTTCCTTTGTAATTTAAGGGGTGTTCCTGCGTGCATATTCGCTTACAGGACAGACTCTCAGCCAGGGCAGACTCCAGTGAGGGCCGGGCTGTGGTGGCCTCTGAGGATGGGGGTGTTCTGGAATTAGCTGGACCTGTTTGTGTTGTTTTGTATTTTTTTTGTCGTTGTTGTTTTGAGAGGAAGTTGGGCCATCACTTGGCGATGCTTGGGGCTACTCCCAGCTCTGTGCTCAGCAGTCTCTCCTGGCACTGCTTGCGGGGGAGGTCATGTGGTACCTGGGGACCATGTGGTGTTGGGATCAAACAGGGGAGTGAAGTGGCATGCAAGCCAAGCACCTGAGCGTCTGTGCTATCTCTCTGGCTTCCCTAGTGATGAATAGATAAATCCACTTTGGATCGACAGGGTCAATTGTACGGCATGTCAGTCGCAGCTCAAAATCATCTGTTGGCATTCAGACCGTCAGGGAGGATGAAAGAGGATGGAAGGGAAAAAGAAGGAAGACCAAGGTGTGCTGAGCCCCCGGGAAATGCCTGTCCCCTGTTCCCACCCAGCGAGGAGTGGCCAGGCCTTTTGCCTGCCTGGCCCCTAGCCTCAGCTGGACCTGCTGTCCCCCACTCTCAGCTTCCGGCTAACCCCCAACCCCAGGCGGACCCTACTCTCCCGCTTACTCTCAGCTTCCGGTGACGCCCACCCCAGCTGGACCCTATTCTCCCGCTCACTCTCAGCTTCCGGCTGACTCTCACCCCCGCTTCCTCCCAGCCTCAGCTCAGCTGTCACTAGCCGTCCCTCCTTCCAGTTCTAATCCAGGCCCCTTGCTCTGGTCCAGTCCCTGCCCACGTCCTGGGCCCACATCCGGCCAGTGCCCACCTGTTGCGGCCCTGCAGTTGGTGGAGCTCATGGCCCTGCAGCAGGAGCTGTTTCTCCAGCCTGTTGGTGGACACCGAGGTCTCCAGAAGTTGCATCTCCATCCTTGAGGTCTGGTTCAGGACCTGCCCCGGCAGCAAGAGGGGAGGGGTGGGTGGGTGTCAGTGAGCCCTGCGGGAGCCTGTCCGGCACTGACCCCTGACCATGGTGGAAACTCGCTGCCTCCTCCCAACTTAGCATTCACTGATCCTTGTGGCCAGTCCTATTCACTTATTCACTCATTTATGCATTCATTCGTTCACAGGCTCTGAGCCTGAGACCTCCTTCCTGAATGTTCTCCTCCCCAGCCCGTCCCATGGCCATTCCTTTCCTCCTGCTCCTCTGGCCCCAGGGAGTCATCGTCTCTGTCAGGGGCAGAAACCAGGTCACCCCGTGCAGGGTGGAGCCTGACCACGGAGCTAACTCCAAGGGCTCCTGACCTCCACCATTCACCAGGCAGAAAGTTCTATCAACCTGCACATGTGTTCCTGACTCCTCTCCTCCACTCCCTCTGTCCCCTTCAGTCTCCCTCTTTCCCGGGGCTTGTCAGACTGGCCCGGCCCAGTCCACGCTGGGGCTCCTGATCATTCCCCCTGCAGCCCACTCTTTGTTCAGCCCTTTACAATGTGGCCCCTGGACTGGGGGCAGGGGGTCAAGTGGTCGAGCACACACATAGCCTGGGAGAGGGCCTGGGTTTGACCCCCAGCACCACACAACCCTCCTGAGCACCGTCTAGCGTGGCCCTGGTGACCCCTGAGCACCACCGGGCAGGAGCACTGAGCTGTGAGGCCTGCGCCTCTGCTGAGTATCCTTGGGAGTGGCCCCAAGCCTCCTCACACTGCTGTGGTCCCTCCAAATGCTGAACAGAATCTGCTCCCTCTGCCCCAGTGTGAGGGTCCGCCATGGCCTGGCCCTGCTCCTGTGGACGCCTAGCCTGCCATCTGCCTTGGTGACTCTAGCCACGCAGGTGCCCTGATATTCCTGGAGCTTGCCAGCAGGGGTTGGCCTCTGGGCCTTTGCACATGCTGCTGTCCCCATCTGAGGACTCTTCCATCTAACTGTGATCCACCCTTCCCAGTGGTGCCTTCCTGGCCTCACTGCCTAACACTGTGGCACATCCCTCCCACCAACCCCAGGCCCCACTGAGTGCTCTCCTGGTGGGCGCTTTTGCCTGGCAGCGCCCCAGCGCATGTAAACATGTTGTATCCTGCTCCCACCCCTTCCCTCCCCTCCCCTTCACTCCCCTCGCCCCTCCTCTCCCCTGTCTCCTCTTCCCTTTCCCTCCCTTTCCCTTCCCTTCCCTTCCCTTCCCTTCCCTTCCCTTCCCTTCCCTTCCCTTCCCTTCCCTTCCCTTCCCTTCCCTTCCCTTCCCTTCCCTCAACAATCCTCCCCTTCCCTCCCCCTCCCCTTCCTTTCCTTCCCTCCCCTCCCCTCCCCTCCCCTCCCCTGGTTTGTGAGCCGATAGGTGCCCTTGGCCTCACACGTCCTCCATTCCCCCCTCCCCGACTCCCGGTCTCCCTCCTGCACCTGTGCCTCCACGTCGGTGAGCTTGCGGGTCTGGGCCGTGGTCTGGTTCAGGAGGCTGGTGCCCAGCTCTAGCATGGTGGCCGTCTGGTTCTGGACCATGTGCTGCTGGGCCTGCACCAGCTCCGACCTCAGGCTCATCTGGATGTACCTCTCCAGCTGCGGGGAGACCGTGGGCTGGGGTCACGGGGAGCGGCTGGGGGAATCTCCTGGTCTTTTTCTGGGTTTCTGCAGAAAGACTGGGCAGGTCTCCCTGAGAAGACAGGCCCTCCTTCCCACCACCTGGTCTCTGCCACAAGCTTCCTCTTCCCTCCAGTTCAAGAGAGCCCACACAGCCTATCCTGTTAAATCCAAGCCAAATCAGATTCCTCAACTACTCGCCGGCATTATATGTAGGGTCCCCGTCACACGCAGAAGAAAAGCCAAAGTCTCTGTGAGTGGCTTCTTGCCCAACCCGGCTTTTCCTCTCCCCTCTGATTTCCTCCCTACTCTCTGTCCTTCCTTCCACTCCAGAGGCACTGACTCTCTTACATCCCTCTAATACAGCACGAGCCTGCCACAGGAACTTTGCATATGCTGAGCCTCTCCCTGGAACTCCTCCCCACCCCAAACCTTCTCATCTGTGGAGCATCTCAGGTCTTTTCCTACAACTTGGTACTCCCCCCCAACACTACATCACACACTTTTCTGTTCCTGGACCGTGTCACCCTGGACGTCGATTTCACGGAGGGACTTGGTCTGGCTCAGCGTTGTCCTCATGTCTAGCACAGTGCTTAGGGGAGAAGGTTAATGTGTGTGTTCAGTGCGTGAACGAAATGGCAAAGCAGCAAGGGTCAGCGCCAGGCCCACAAAATGTGGTGCCTGTTACCCAGCCCAAGTGGGGGCGTGGAGAGGCCCACAGGGAGCAGAGACATGTCCTTCTTTGTCCAGTGTGCAGGTCTATCCACCAAGCCCGCCATGCCATTTCCTGGAGCCCTGTTTGCCAGAGCGGGTGGGTCCAGCCTGTTTCTCAGGGCTCTCCCAGCATGGAGCCCACATGCTAACACTCACTCCTTGGCCAGGGTTGCTCTCCTTCCCAAGAGACCGAGAAGCTGGCCCGACATGGGACCAGGGTCGTCTCAAAGGTGAACGCTGTTCTCAGGGCACAGTGCCTGTGGGCAGAGAGCTTCCACCCTCTGGCACACACTGGCCTCTGTCCACCACCCCTCCCCACCCACCCCTCCCCACACCCTCCACTCAGCCTCCTTAGAGGTTCAGTAGGGCAGTGCCCAGGCTTCCTGGGAAAACCAGTGCTTCCAAGGGAGAGCTGTGACCTCGGCTGGGCTCCTCCTCCTTACTCTCTCCTCCCCCCCCCTCTGCCCCTAGCACCCCCCAACCCCTCCACATACACCATGCTTCAGAGGAGCCCATTTTGTTGCAGTGCAGCATCCGTCCTGAAGGGAAAGCACTGAAGAGGGTTCACAGGTTGGGGGTCCTTGGATCAGCATCTCTGAGAATTCCTTTTGTTTGTCTGTTTGGGGCCCACACCCAGCCATGCTCGGGGCTTACTCCTGGCTCTGTGCTCAGGGATCCCTCCTGGCAGGGCTCAGGGGACCTTCTGGGGTGTCAGGGACTGAATCCAGGTCAGCTGTGCGCAAGGCAAGCTCCTTAACTAACCGCGGTGCTATCTCTCTGGCCTGGGGACATGTCAGAGAGGAAAAGCATGAGTTCCCACGCCAGGGTTCCCCCACTCAGAAACTCGGGGGTATCGCCCAGCCCTTTGGGTGGGGCTGAAGCTGCCTCAAGTGTGAGAACCCTGGGACAGAGGTCACGGGGGAGGGAATTGGGGCGAGACAAGCCCATGTGGGGCTTCTCAAGGCGTCTCTGATCCCTCCCTACCTCCCCTGCAGATGCTGTTCCTTCCACTCATAAGCCCCCCGCGTGGCACAAATGTGCCTTTAAATTAAAGAAAAGAGAACCCGGTAAGCTACCGAAAGTATCCTGCCAAAACGGCAGAGCCTGGCAAACTTCCCGTGTTGTACTCAATATGCCAAATCACGAATCACGAATCACGACCATCCTGTTATTCGTCGATTGCCTCGAGCAGGCAATATGCCAAATACCAGTAACACTGATGGGTCTCATTCTCCTAGCCCTGAAAGAGCATTGAAATGGCTCTTTTAAAATCTCAGGGCTAGGAAGAAGGAGACATTACTGGTGCCTGCTCGAGGCAATAGACGAAATTAAAGGAAATTAAAGAAAAATGAACCCCACAACCCTTCCCAGCTGCAGCTTTGATTTCTCCTCTCCTCTCATCAGAGCCTGGGCAAGCGCTAGGCCTGTTCTTACCTCCTTCTCCTCCCTCACCTTACGAAACAGCTTCATCCTGATATTTCGCAATACCAACAACAGCGTAAGGAATGATCTGAGATCTGTGAGTTTGCCATAATCAAGGCAAGTAAATATGTTTGTCCCCCCTGCACCCGCACCCGCTTACCCCAGCTCTGGGGGTCCCTTCACTCTTTCGCTCCCCTTTTTGGACCTCCCTCTTAAACTCAAGCATCTCTCCTTCCTGCCCTTGGCAGTGACAGTCACTGCCTTTTTTTCCTGGAAGCACTTCCCACCTGTATCCTCTCCTCATTTCCATCCTGCTCACCTCCCTGTTCTCCTTCTTACTCCTCCTTGACCAGAGTCCTGCGTTTCTAGGGCCCTGGTCCACTCCTAAGCCCTTTTTCTGTATGTTCTCCCCCTAGGTCACTGTCACTAACACTGTCCTCCCGTTGTTCATTGATTTGCTCGAGCGAGCCCAGTAACATCTCCATTGTGACAATTGTTACTGTGTTTGGGATATCGAATACATCACGGGAGCTTGCCAGGCTTTGCTGTGCGGGCGAGATACTCTCGGTAGCTTGCCGGGCTCTCCGAGAGGGGCGGAGGAATCGAACTCGGGTTGGCCATGTTGGCCACATGCAAGGCAAATGCCCTACCCGCTGGGCTATAGTTCCCCCTAGGTCAAAGATCCTAAATGGGAAAGGGGCAGAGGAACATGGGGTCTGTGAAGACAATTCAGGTGATTTGATCATTACAGCTGTCATTTCCTTTGTGAGGGGCACAAGCCACACACCACAGTACTCGTAGTTATCCCTACAACTCCCATAACAATAGAAATGAGAATGTTTTCATATCCCAGCCCAGTTGGGACAGTCTCTTAAAATGCTAGTCTTACAGAGACTTGGGAAGTTATGGACATTCTCCAGCCCTTCCGGGTAACACTGCCGTGGTGGCATGAATGACACTTTTAGTATCTGGATTACAGCACCATTGAATGTTGGGGGCCGCACCCAGAAGTGCTCAGGGATTACTCCTGGCAGGCTCAGGGGACCAGATGTGATGCTGGGAGATGAACCTGGACGGAATGCATGCAAGGCGAGCTCCTTAAGCCATAGTATTATAGCTCAGGACCTACTGCTTCCCCCCCCCCCCCATACTTAATAGTAGCATTCTGGGAGAGAGAGAGAGAGAGAGAGAGAGAGAGAGAGAGAGAGAGAGAGAGAGAGAGAGAGAGAACAGAGTTTAAGGCACACAATTTGCATGTGGCTGGCTCTGGTTCCATCCTGGCATCACATGGTCCCCCAAGCACCCCCAGGTACAACACGAGAGTCCCCTGAGCGCTGCTGGGTTGACCCAGGTCGTCCCTGGCACTGTGGGCCCTACCAGCACCACATCCTCTGATGCTTGATTGGAATGTCTGGCCTGGTAGATCCGGAATCACGGGGAGTGATTCAGTGACTCCCTGAGCATTTCTTGGGAACTCCCCCTGCACCTCCTAAGGATTCAGACTCCCAAGATCCTGAAAGGCTCCAGGCAGCGAACAAGTTCATTCCTGCAGCTAGACCTTGCCTGCTTCTCCCTGGTCTCTCATTATCAGAGACAAACTGAGGCCCAGGTGGCTACCTGGCAGGTCAGCTTCTGAGAGGGACTTCTCAGCTCCGCCAAGCTGGACTGGAGACTCAGGGTAGCTTGGGGACATCGCCAGGGAAGGAAGCTCCCTCTGCACCCACAATGGTTCCCCCACTTGCTCTGTAGCTGCAAGTGGTTGGGTGGAGGAAAGGCCACCCGCAGCTGGGGTCCATCACCCAATTGGCCACACCCGCCCACTAGCACCAACCCTGGGAGAGATAATCTGGGCCAGATGGACCCAGTTGGGTCAGGCTGGGGCTCTGGTGACTGAAGTCAGTCGGCCTGTGTGTTGGTGGGGGTTGGGTCTGGCCCAGGGGTCTGGCTCAGGGTTCAAGCACTAACCAGAAGGGCGGGAGGAGGGCCTCAGTGGGTGAATAAACACAGGCTGAAATCTGCCCTGTCCCACCGCAGAATTAGCCCTTCCTCATCTCTGCCAGCCTCATGCCAGCCAACTTGGGGCCAAGAAGGGGCCTGACCTCACTCTACCTCTTTGGCGCTGGTGCTGGCTTGGCAGAGGTCGATCTTTGGCCCTGGCCCGCGGCTGTACCCTGGGATGGGATCCTGCCTCTGCTCCTCTCTGCCTTAACGGCTACTTTTCTTTGAGCCTCATTTGCTCAGCTGGGATGTGGGGACAGTAAACCCTGCCCCTTGCCCGGGAGAGAGCACTTGAAAAGGATGATGAGGTAAGGCAAGGGGCTGTGGCAGGCAGGCCCCGGGGGAGGAAGTGGGGTGAGACAGACAACAGGGATGTCCACAGAGAAGGGGTCTGGGCGGCTGGGAGCTCTGTCCCAGGGGCCTTTCCAGTCGCACACTTAGGGCTTCAGCTGGCAAATGGGCATGATGGTGGCCTGTCCGTCCAGCGGACTCTAAAAAGAAACAAACTGCCGAAATGCACGACAACACAGGTGATTGCTGTTGTTTTTGTTGTTCTTGGGCTATGCCCCGTGGTGCTGCCCATCATTCTGGTTCTGAGTCAGAAGTGGCTGCTGGCAGTGCTCAGGGGACCAGATGTGGTGCCAGGAATTTGAATCAGAGCTGACGGGTGGAAGATAGGAGCCTTAATCTCTGCACCATCTCTCCTGCTTGGCCCCCAAGATGATTGTTGGGGGGCTGTCTGTGTCCACGGGTGCTGGGGAGGGCGTATGCTCCTGGCTCTGAGGCCGGAAAGCAGGCATTGCTGCCAGAGATAGAACCCGGGAGTACTGCATGAAAGCGTGGAA